GCCCTGGATTCCAACCTTTTTGTGGGCACACACAGGTGCGTGCACGCTCTTCCCCAGGTGCTCTCAGGTGATGTGATCTTGTTCTGGGGGGGTACAGGGGTGGTCCCTAAGAGATGCCACGGCCACGAAACAGACGAAGGCAGAAAAACAGCAAGCTGGAAGGCTGTTTAGAGGTTTGTTCTCTGCCACTCTTGACCCCACTCCTTCCTTGCTTCCTCTTCCCCTCTTCCTTCCTTCCACCCATCCATCCTGCCTTTCTTATTTTCTTCTATATCGGGCCCCATTGCCAACACCATCTGGGTGACTCACACGCATTCATAAAATAAAATAACATAGCAGTTAAAAAAAACCAAAACGAAAGACACAGCCATTCACCAAAGCCGTCTGGGCAGCTTGCGAGGCGAAGCTGAAAGACCTAAAATACAACATCACAGTAGAACACAATCTACCATCATGTGCTAAACACAGAATAAAAACCAAAAAAGCAACCCAGGTAAAAACCAGCAGCGGCGCATCAGTTATAACAATCAAGCCACCACCTTTGTGTTTTGAGGCAAAATAAGGCCCCCCACGTCCGCTGGACCTCAGGAAGAGCTGCTGGACTGTCTGAGCAGTACGGCAAGGGAACCGTGACCGAGGGAGGTCGTGGGTCCTCCAGCCCCGGAGGCCTCCAGGAGGCGGTTGGAGAGCCCTCTGTCCCGGATGCTTGAACTGGGAGCCCTGCCCTGGGCAGGGGTTTGCACCCCGTGGCCTCCCTGGCCCCTTCCCACACTGCTGCTCTGTGGTTCTCTGAACTCCCACGATTCCCTGGCCAGCCACACTGGCTCCTGGATAGCCATTCCACAAGACGGGGGCCACCACTTAGAAGTCCGTCTCCTCAGTAGTTTTGGGGTTGATGGTTGGAATCTCTCCTGATAATGAGGGGCTTGCATTTAGGATTTTGTGAGCAGAACGCGCGTGCGCTGGGTAGGATGAGTGGATGAGTAGGAACGATCAGGGAGCGTGTCTTGGTGGGAGGCCATCTTGTCCAAGAGGTCACAGGTGGTGGGCAGAGATGGCATGTCCCTGCTCGACCCGTTGCCCCCACACATGCGCAAGAGCAAACCGCGGGGGCTGATCTAGATGTCCATGGGTGGGAGACAGCTGACGGATCTGGGGAAGATTCAGGCAGAATCAAGCTGGGGAGCTTAGATAATGCTCTAATCTGCGATGCTCAAAACCCCTGGAAGCCTGTTGTGGGAGCGGAAATTGGTTGGCATTTAGTGCTGTGGTTACTAACTCAACCTGCGTATGGTGGGCATGTCGTGAGCGGAGCCGGCTGGTGCCGGAGGTCAGACTAGATGGCCCGGGAGGCCCCTTCTGACTCGCTCTGTTTCTCTGGTTCTACGCTTTGCCATGTCGGTCCTCCCCCGGGAATCCCAGCATGAAGGGCCTTGGAGTCCTTCCTGACCTTGTGGTGCTTGACGTGAGTTACAACCGGCTGACGGAGATGAAGGACCTGGGCAGCTGCGCCCGCCTCTCCATCCTGCGCATGTCCCACAACCGGCTGAGGACCCTCACAGACACGCCCCTCCTGAGCAACCTGACGCAACTTGACTTGTCTTCCAACCAGGTATTTCCTTCCGGGGGCTTTTGGCAGGACTTCGAAAATAGGGTGATCTCCAGGAGGAGGTATCGAACGAGGCGGGCCGGCCCCTTGCCCCGCCGGGCCACGACTGTTGCGCAAATCCCCCACCGACCTCCCGTTGTCGCCTAATTTGGGGTTGTCGCAGCAGGAAGAGAGTTCTGCTTCCTTCAGTGAAGGAAAGTGAGTTGGGGGTTTGCTGCTGAAGTACAGCAGTGCTGCACCACTGAATTTCAGTGGCAGCTTTGAGGAGGGGGCAGTTCCCATGGGGAAATTGCCCCACACGTGACCTGAGGTGGCACATGGGTCCAGACATACGGACTTCCAGGCTGGTCCAGGCCTGCCTGGGATTCTGCAGCTCTGGCCCCGAGCTGCAGAGGAAGAGTTTTTTCCAGGTGAAGCCTCATCCGGGGAGAGGAATCTCAGAGTGGGAGAAAGCGGGGACCGAGCCTCGTTTCTTTGGCCGTAGCCTGCGCTCTTCTGTTAAAGCTGCGCTCCCTGGAAGGCGTGCAAAACCTCTCGCGGCTCCATGAGCTCCGTGTGCGGAAGAACCGCATTGCCAGCCTGCTCCCGCTCGCGTGCCTGCTCTCGCTCAGCACCCTGGACGCATCCTGCAACGATATCCGTGGCCTGCCGGAGGCCCTGTCGGTGCTCAAGGGCCTCCGTCGGTTGAAGCAGCTCAGGCTCAAGGTGAGGCTGGCACTGCTGCGAAATGTGGAGCCGGCGGAGCCGAGCAAGGGAGGGACGGGGAGAATGGAGAGGGGGGCCATTTTCTCCCTCTCCCGCAGGACTCGAACCCGGGGTCGGCCCATGAGGCTGACCGGTGGCAGACTTGGGATGGGACTTCCTTTGCACAGCGTAACCCTGAACGGAGGAATTCGCGGCCAATCTGGATGGCTTGAAGAGGGGACTGGAGGAAGGCACGGAGGAGGAGGAGGGTCTCCGTGGCTACTGGCGGTGCTGGTCGTGTGCCGCCTCCTTTCCCTTTTGCGGAGGCGCTTGGGCAGGAGGAGGCCTTGCACCCGTCCTGCCAGGGGGATCCGGCGGGCGGCTGGCTTGCCCCCATATGCACGGACTGCTGGACTTGGGGGCCTTCTGGCCTGAGCCAGGCTTACGTTCTTAATGCTGACCAAGGGGATAAACCACTGGTTTCCCTGGAGTGTTTGACTGAATGCCTGGCCCAGTTTTAAATCCTTCCCGCGTTACCTGTTTATTTGTGCATATTTATATTCATTTATTTATTTATTCATTTTATTTATATTGTGATTTATATCCTGCCCTTTTCCTACAAAGGGCTCAAGGCAGCTTGCATCATCTCTCCTGCTCCGTCTTATCCCCACAACAACAACCCTGTGAGGTAGGTTGGGCTGAGAGTCTGTGACTGGCCCAAAGTCACCCAGTTGGCTCCATGGCCGAGCCTTTCTCACCTTTCCTCCTGCAAGGGACCCAGGGCAGTGTTCCTCATCTCCCCCTGCTCCCCCTTTATCCTTACAACCACAACCCTGTGAGGTAGGTCAGACTGCGAATCAGCAATTAGCTCAAAAGCGCCCAGAGAGCTTCAGGGTCAAGGGGAGACTAGAACTCGGCTCTCCCAAGTCTTTCTCACCGGCATGCCACCCTGGCCTTCAGCCCAGGTGTCTGCTTCGGGTTTTTTTCTTTTAAACGTATCATACTGCAACAAAGAGTTGCAGCATGTAGTGGTGCTGTTCCAGTCTGTCAGCTACGCCTTCTCTCGCGATATGGTTCCATTCCAAAACAAGCCAGCCTGTTTTCCATGGCCTCTGAGCACGTTCACTTGTGCCTTGTGCCATCCTCGGCCGTCCTAAGAATTTTTAATTTATTCCTTCCTTCATTTTTGCATTTCTGGAATCCTTACATTTTCTGCAGCCCGCCGTTACCTCCCTCTTGTGTGCAGATGAAAAGAGCGGCACTCACCGCTGAATATCCTTATTTATTTATTTAAAACTTTTGTAGACCGTCCCATTACCGAAGTCTCGGGATGGTTTAACAAGACAAAATGTTAAAAAAAAAAAAATATCAGAGCGCGCACGGGGTGTAGCCAGGGCTGGGCAGCAGTTCTTTGGAATTAGGGCTTTTAGTAACCATGGCTAGCTAGCCCCCACCTAAAGCTGTGCTTTCAAAGCTGTGGACCTCACCACATCGTATAGCACGGAGCTCCACGAGTTAATTCTGTGCCGCATGGGGAAAAATCCTGCATTCTCAGGTTGCAGTGGGTACAGGAGGGCGACTGAGGGGTGAGAAATCTAACCCCCAAGATCTAACCCCCAAGTCCCCACTGGGGCAGGCTTGGATGCTTGCCGCAGCTGGCACGATGTCCTTGTTCCGCTGTGCTTCTTCAGTGTCGGTCGGTCGGCGGTCGGTTAGCCAAAATTTATTGCATGAGTCTCCAGACCGTGTCAAACACAATGGACACACTTGAAAAACAGACAGGACTCCATAAACTTTAAGATAAAAGGCTAAGCTATGAAGGTCCAACGCTGCGGTTATAGTAAAATATTTAAAGTAAAATATTTGAAAAGAAAGCAGGAAAAGCACACCTTTTAGTAATAAAATAAGGTTTGTGAACCCGCTAAAATCCTGCACATGCTTTTCTTATATGGCAAAGGGTTAATGTCTAAATGCTGGCAAGGCCGCTGTGGCTGAGTTCAGCAATGGATTAGGGTTTTCGTCACGGTTCGGTTTCAGGAACGGACACGGGGCAGAACGACTCTGTGGGAAGATTTGTGTGGTGCCAGGCTGGAAGTCACACCGCTTGGCCGGAGGCTGCACATGCCAAATGTCTCTTTAGTAGGGATTTGGCTTCCTTGTAGCTGGCTTGACCTGTAGCCTCCACACTGGCTAAAAGTCCCCCATCTCCCAGCATTCCCCATGGCTGGCAGGGGGAATGCTGGGAAATGTAGGACTTGACTCCCAGAGGAGTCTGGTGGCTTGAGAATGACAGAGGCACTCTGGTGTCTCCATGGTTGCCTTTCTGAATCCAAGGACGGCAACCCAAGCTCCTCTGGGTGCAGGGAGACACATCCCCGGGTCTCCTTGGAGAACGAAGTTCTGAAGAAGTAGACGTCTCAGGAGACCTCTCCATACCTTGTATGGTTGTCTCAGGAGCTTCTTGTTCTGGGGACGAAATGTTGGGAGGAGGAAGGCTCGGGTGTCTTCGTCTCAGAAGTGGTAACTGCCACGGTTTCTCTTCCCTGCTCTCCACCACCCCATCCCCTTTAAGGACAACCCAGTGGTCCGGGACAACCGCTTTACCACAGCCATCAAGGAGTCCACCTCCGTGGAGATCTTGGACGGCACGTTGCTCCAGGGTCCATCAGGGCTCCCCACAGCGGCTCTGCATGTGTGGCCCTTCCTCCAGGTGCCGGCAACCTGTTCAACCAGAGCGGAACTGGAAGAGGCGACCAGAAGGGCCTTCCGTGAGCGCCTGCAGCAGAAGAAAGGGGTTATGGAGGGCGCCGTCCACCACCTCCACTCCAGAATATTGTAAGGCGTTCTGTTCCCTCCCAGTCAGGTGCCTCTTTGCACGCAGGGGCTCTCAGGATCCCTGCAGAAGGGGGTCTGATAGGAACTGGCTTGATTTTCCGTCGGGGCTGGAGGCTCTCCGTCCCAAGCAGTTCATCCTCCAAGTGGATGCTCCAGGTGGGGTTTTCATTCAGTCCGGGGTGAAATTTCACTTCAGAGCTACTCTTGGGGACTGATTGGGATGGTGCCATTTGGCAGGGGCAAGAAAATGAGCCTCACTGCAGGAAAACGCATCTTTTCTTGGGAGACTCCAGCCCAGGAGGGTCCTATTTCAGAAACTTGGGTGCACAAATTTTGCAAGGTCATGCTGATCTTTTGAATGAGCACCAGGATGCCATGGGAACGGAACCATTTCTGCTCCAAAATATAGGCGCTTTCGTTTCTCCGGGGCCACTTTGCCGCATCCTGTTTCGATTATTGTTATTATTAATTCATTTATCACATTTTGTTTCTACACCGCCCGAGAGCTGAAGCTCTCTGTGCAGCTCACACTTAGTACTTAGAGAGTTGGCAGGGGTTCTCTCACGCCCTCTGGCCTTCATTTTTGAGGCCTCATGGAGAACAGGTGAAGTTCCAGAGGACTGGAGGGTGGCATCAGTGGTCCCAATTTTCAAAAAGGGTAGTAGAAAGGACATGGGGAATTACAGACCAGTTAGCCTTACATCTATTGTAGGAAAAACAATGGAAAGGCTCATAACAGAGAGAGATCTAGTGATGCTGGATAGGGAAGGGAGGCTGACAGCCACACAACACGGCTTCCGCAAAAACAGGTCCTGCCAGACAAACCTTGTGGGATTCTGTGACAAGGTTTCGTGATGGCTGGATGGAGGGGATGCAGTGGATGTGGTATACCTGGATTTCAGCAAGGCCGTTGACAAAGTGCCCCATGATATCCTGGTGGAGCAACTGAGGAGCTTTGGGATAGACCAGTGCACTGTCCGGTGGATTAGGGCATGGTTGACTGACCAGAAGCAGAGGGTAACCCTTAGCGGGGAATCATCGGGATGGCGGCCAGTGACAAGCAGGGTCCCCCAGGGCTCTGTCCTGGGGCCGATCCTGTTCAATCTTTTCGTTAACAACATGGAAGAAGGGGTGAACAGTCTGCTGATCAAATTCGCAGACGACACTAAAACTGGAGCAGTGGCCACAACTGAGGAGCAGGTACTCCAGATCCAAAAGGATCTGGACAGACTATGGAAGTGGGCAGGAGACAACAGGATGGCGTTCAATGTGGATAAGTGCAAGTTCTTGCACTTGGGGCATAGGAATAGGAGTCATAAGTACAGGTTAGGGGACCAGTGGCTGGAGAGCAGCACTTGTGAAAGGGACCTCGGGGTGCTGGTCAACTGCAGGCTGAACATGAGCCAGCCGTGTGATGCAGTGGCCAAGAGGGCGAACGCCACCCTTGGTTGCATAGCCAGAAGTGTGGCTTCCAGATCGAGAGAGGTATTACTACCGCTCTATACAACTCTGGTGCACCCACAACTGGAGTATTGTGCTCAGTTTTGGGCATCTCATTACAGGAAGGATATAGCCAGGTTGGAGTCAGTGCAGCGAAGGGCCCCAAGGTTGGTGGCCGGTTTGCAGGGGATGCCGTATGAGGCGAGACTGAGGGAGCGGGGTCTCTTCAGCCTGGGGGAGACTCAGAGAGGATCTGTTGGCGACATGCAGGTATGTGAGGGGGTGTCAGACGGAGGTGGGGAGAGACCTGTTCTCCCCTGCAGAGGAAGGCAGAATGCGCTCCAACGGAGCCAAGCTCAGGGAACCCAGGTTCCATTTGGATGCCAGGAAGCACTTCCTGACAGTTGGGACCCCGAGGGTGTGGAATGGGCTTCCCGGGAGGTCGTTGAGGTCCCATCGGTGAGGGTGTTCAAGGATGGGCTGGACATGCACATGGTGGGCATGTCATGAGCAGAGCCGGCTGGAGCCGGGGGTCAGACTAGATGGCCCGGGAGACCCCTTCTGACTCGCTCTTTTTCTATGTTTCTAATATGCCAAAATTGTATCCATCTTGGTGTATACCATCTGCCATCCTATCCATCTGTTTGGCAAGCTGGCCATGTTTGAACAAAGGGTCGAGTTAGTTACCGAAACTAGGAATGGCAAAAATCCCTTGGCTACCTTGAGATGGCAGACCTCAAAATCTTGAGAAAGCCTTGACAGTCTGTATGACGCAGAGGTGAGAGACCGGGACTGGGGACCCAGTGACCCGGGCTTGAGTCTCCTCTTGGCCATGAGGATTCCTGGTGACCTTGGGCCAGGCCTCAGCCTGATCTACCTCGCAGGGCTGTTGTTGTGAGGATAAAATGGAGCAATGTCAGCTGACTTGGGAAAAGCGGGGAAGGGGGCATAAATGGAAGGTGATAACAATATCCAGACTTTAAAATTTGCCAGGGAAAGGATTAAAAGATGATTTCGCTACTGTGGGTGCAGAGGCTCACAGGTACGAAATGTTAAGAAAAGTCCTTCCTGCAGTGCTGGGTTTTGCCAAGGTGGAGCAGCGCTCTCTCCCAGAGCATTTAACTCGAGGCGTCTTCTTAAAATGAGGACGAGTGGTTGGTATTCTCTGAAGGTTTGGGGACCCGGCCTGTACCGCCTTTGAGCCTGTGAGCATCTCTGAATTCCTTTCTTCTCTCTCAGGGAAATGCAGGAAGAGATGATGGACTATGAAGAAAACCTCAGACTGGAAATGCAGGCATGTATGAGGTAAGAGAAGCTACTGCATGCTGGGAAATGAGCTGGGTTCTGCCTCGGTTTCTCTCAGGTTTGGTCTTTGGTGTCTTTGCTCAGAAGCAGCCTTCCTTGCACCAACAGTGCCCAGATGTGTCGGACCACAATTCCCACCACCCCATCCAGCCTTGGCTGGGGATGATGGGGGTTGTGGTCCAGCGCATCTGCTTGGGTAAGGCTGCTGTACATTGCGGGGACTGTGCTTCCGTGAAGGGTTCCTTTTCCAGGTGATGCGGAGGATTAGGATAGCTAAATGGACAGGTGGGATCCGAGCCCTTTCTAACGGCGCATCCTCCGCCTCTCCCCAGATACGTACAAATGCTCCCGTCGGAAGGGGCTCAAAACCTGGCCGATCCTCAGGAAATCTCTGATGCCATGGAGCAGCACCTGTTCACCAAATTCTGGGAAAGGTGGCGGAAGGGCAGGCGGGCGCCTGTCCAGCTCCCCTACAAGGACCTGACGGAGCCCAGAGAGGTAGGTGCGCTTTGGCGATGCTTCACCATCACTGCCCGGATGCTGCCCCGTTCTCCACTTCTGCTCCAGCGCCTTCCTGCGTGGCTCCCAGAAGCGAGAGGCAGCAAACTGTCTCGGGACGAAGTTTTCAGGGCACTAACGGCAACCCCCTTTCAGTCCAAGTCTCTGGGGGTGCACATTTCAAAGAGGGGTGCTGCCGGAGGCAAAATTGGGCAGGTGCAGAGCGGAGCAGGAAAAATGCCAGAGTAAATGTGCATTTTATGCCCCACATGGGAAAGACGTGCCATTTTAGAATGGAAAAAATGTGCAAATGCCAGGAGACGTCAAGGGGAAGTGGGTGCAGCCTTCTGGGAACCCTGGAGGCTGAATTGGATGGGCAGGATTTAGCCTTCCTTCACAGAAGAGTGGCTTTCTCCCAAACGCAGTGGAAAGCCAGTCGCTGCAACCAGGAGAGGCCTGGAGGGCTGCGGATCTTGGTTTTCCTCTTAGGATGGGATCTGGTTACACTTTGTTCCAATCATTCATTCATTCATTCATTCATTCATTCATTCATTCATTATTTGATTTTTAGCTTGCCCTATTAGCCACACAGCTCCCCGGGCGGGTTACAGACAATAAAAGCATGGGAAATTCAGTATAAATCATTAGAAACGCAATACCAGACACTTAATCAAATATCAAGAAAACGTACAAATGTATCACATCTTCACTATGATTACATAAAAGGCATACCACGTTCTTTATTGAAATATACAGTGTTAAGATCGGATTAACAATTAAAATACTGGCAAAATGAAAAGGTCTTTGCCTGGCACCGAAAAGAATAGAAAGAGGGCATCAAGCAAACCTCTCTGGGGAGCTGATTCCAAAGTCATGGTGCCACTCCCAAAAAGGCCCTGCTCCTTGTCCCCCCCTCCTTATTTCCTGAGAAGGGGGCTTCTTCAGAAGGGCCTCAGATGTTAATCTAAGGGGCAGATAGGCTCATATGGAGGACGATTGCCTGGTGACAGTGACACATGCATTGGTGACTTCCCGGTTGGACTACTGTAAAACTCTCTACGTGGGGCTGCCGTTGAAGACAGTCCGGATACTTCAGATGGTGCAAAATAGAGCTGCCAGGTTGCTGACAGGGACTGGGCATTGTGCTCACATTTATTTATTTATTTATTTATTTATTTATTTATTTAAAACATTTCTGTGCCGCCCCCATCACAACAAAGCCTCGGGGCGGCTCACAACAAAAACAAAAACATACAAAATTATACGAAAAGAAAGTTATACACTAAAAATATTAAAACCCGGTGCATCTCGGCTTAAAAATTTTTTAAACCCTACATAATAAATTAATACTTAAAATAAGTTTTAAATAAAAAGGTCTTAGCCTGGCACCAAAAAACAAATAACGACAGCGCCAGGCAGACCTCTCTGGGGAGCACATTCCATAGGTAACCCCAGTCCTCCGTCAGCGTCACTGGCTCCCCATTGAAGTCCGGGCCCAATTCAAGGTGTTGGTTATCACCTATACAGCCCTTAACGGCTTGGGTCCTGGTTATCTCAAGGAGCGCTTGCATCCATATATGCCCTCCCGCCCCTTGAGATCGGCAGCAGAGGCCCTTCTCCAGGAGCCCTCCGTGAAAGATATTAGGCGGGTGAGTACCCGGAGGAGGGCCTTCTCTGCGGTGGCACCCCACCTCTGGAACGCGCTCCCCAGAGAGATCCGCCTGGTGCCATCGTTATTTGATTTTCGGCACCAGGCCAAGACCTTTTTATTTAAACAATATTTTAACAATTTTAATATTATCTATAGGTTTTAATTTTACAGCCAGGGTAAATCTGGATTTTATGTGCACTATTCATATGGTTTGTTTATTTATTGTATGGAAGCCGTCCCAAGGCTCATGTGAATGGGACGGCATACAAAAATTCTAAATAAATAAATAAGAGGCCCTTCTTTGGACACCCTGACCCCAAGTTTTTAGGGCTTTAAGCACTAACATTAAACCCCTTGAATTGGGCCCGGATCTCAATTTCTAACCAGTGGAGGTGGTCAAGGACTAGCTTTATATGATTGTATCTGCCAGTCCCCGTCAGCAGCCTGGCTGCCCTATTCTGGACCAATGGAAGTTTCTGGACCATCTTCAAGGGAAGCCCCACGGAGATCCTCTTGCGCTAATCCAGGCAAGAGGTTACCAGTGTGTGGATTAAGTGTTGCCAGGTCCTGCCTGTCCAGATCGGGCCGCAGCTGATGTATCAGCCTCAGCAATCATGCAAAACAAAGATAGGTAAGTTGGAATATGATGGCTGCGAATTTGGAAAGTGGCACCCAAGACAGATAGAGTGAGCAGGAAAGAACTGGCAAGCCTCTGGCTGCCTTTCTCCCTCCCTTGTTTATCTATGCTTGTCGTGTTTAAATTTGAACAGAGCCGAGTGAACCTTGATTATTAAACGGGGTTGTGGAGAAGCTGTTGTATCCCTGTACTGAACAAACCGAAACCATCTAGCTGGCCCCGGGATTGAATGCTTACACCATACGCTCATGACTCAGATGCTCCAGAAGCAAGGAAAAATTATCTGAATTATGGAAAATTGCCTTCTTCCAGTGGGAGGCATTTGAGCCAGGCAAAAACATTCACCCATTCAGAGTGAGGGCAGGAGGCATTTCCCTCACTTGTAACTGGCTTTATGGCATGGTCATGCAGGCGAATCGGTTGGCCGACGTCACAAAGTCATCTCTTCTTAGAAAAAGGAAGCTCCATTTTTAATCTTTTTGAAGTGGCAGCGAAGCACCAAAATTATTGTGATTATTTATTTTCATAGAATCATAGAAAGGTAGAGTTGGAAGGGGCCATGAAGGCCATCAGGTCCACCCCCCTGCTCTTGCAGGACGCCAATTTACAGCACCCCACTCAGAGGGCTGCCCAGTTTCTTCCTTTTTTTTAAATCATTTTGAAGTGGCAGCAAAGCACCAACGTTATCGTGATTATTTATTTTATTTCTATCCTGCCCCGCAGCCAAAACTCTCTGGGTGGTTTGCAGCCGCCACAATGCCAAGCTGCTGCACGGGAGATTTTGGCTCTCACAAGCGCCACTTTTGCATCGAAAACTTTCACATCAAACCCCCAGGCCCGGCTCAGCCTTTCTCGCATTCCCTCGAATGAGCAACTGCTCCCACAGTGTCATCCGCAGGGTGACATTGTGCCTTCTGGGCCCAAACATGCCTCGTTCCCAGGAATCACGCCGTGCCCGCCGCTTCCCCGTGCAGGTGGGTGTGGAATGCAAATACCAGCCCAGGCAAAAGGCGACGAGGTGCCTGTCGAGCACACGCAGCTATGTCAGGAATCTGCGGCGCTCCGTAGGTTGAGCCATGGCGGGGCGTGTGTGGGGGGAAGGCCATCTGGTGCGTTCCACATCCCTCGGCATCCTCAGGCCGGGGGGGGGGGGAGGTGTGTGTGCTCCCCCTTGAGGGGATTTTTGGTTCTGATCGTATTATTAGGCCGGAGGGATTGTCCCGGGTTGCTCATTCCGGGAACAGGCTGCCCTTGGAAGCACATCAGAACAGGCAGTGGAGACCTGGAGCTCTGCCGTCAAAGGCAGCTTTGGGTGGGGGCATTTTTCTGGCTTACTGCGAGCAGATGGACCCGGCTTCATGCAAGGTGCCCCCCCTGCTGCCCTGCCATGGCACCACCTCTTTGCTCCCGATGGAGAGATCTGACTGTTGCATTCTCCCGAGTTGGGGCTGCCCCACTGCAGGTGGTGGGGGGCGGGGAGGGCAGGCAAGGAACTCTGTCCTTTGGCTTCACAGCCTCCCACAGTGTCCAAGTGTATGGACTGCAGAGTCGTGTGGTCTGGAATGGCTGCCCAGGCTGCCCGGCGGTGCCAGTGCAGGCTTCAACCACTGCATAGATTTGAATTACCAAAAAATTTCTTGGTGCATTTCCTAACACAGCAGCCCTGAGCTCCCCCACACCACGACCCCCTTAGAATGCATGCCAAACACAAGCTGCCAAAGTTTCATGGTCTTGGCACACCCCCACCCCCTTTTATGATGGCTGACTTATTTCTCAGATTTATATCCTGCTTTAGCTACTTCTGGATGATTTGTATCCCACCTTTCTCCCAGCATGGTAGCTATCAGGGCTGGGCTGGGGCCTTAGACGGTCAGTAGGAAGCAGTCTGGAACGAGCCAGGAGCCAGGAACTGGAGGTCAGGAACAAAGATCAACCGGGATCAAAGAGCAAATCTGGGAGGTGGGTCCAGAAGCCCAGTTGGAACAACAGCCAGGCCTGGGTCAGGTGAGCTGCACTGGAAGCAAAAGTAATAGAATCATAAAAAGTAGAGCTGGAAGGGGCCATGAAGGCCATCAGGTCCACCCCCTGCTGTTGCAGGACACCAAGTTACATCATCCCACTCAGGGGACTGACAGTTTCACTTTGAATGCCTCCACTGTGGGAGAGCCCACCACCTCTCCAGGCAGCTGGTTCCACTGTCGTCTTGCTCTGTCAGTGAGGAAGCTCTTCCTGATGTCCGGCCTGAATTGGGGTTATTTCAACTTGACTTGATTCTTCCATGTCCTGCATTCTGGCATCAGCAAGGAGAGATCTTGACCTCCCTCTTTGTGACAGCCTTCGAGGTACTTATGGAGGGATATCACATCCCCCCTCAGTCTTCTCTTCTCAAGGCTGAACATGCCCAGTTCTCTGTCTCTCCTCACAGGGCAGCGTTTCCAAACCCTGGATCATTTTTGTTGTCCTCCACTGGACCCTTTCTAATGTTTCTACATTTTTCTTAAGCCTTGGATCCCAGAACAGGACACAGTATTCCAGGTGAGGACTGACCAGTGAGGAGTATAGAGGAACCACGACTTCTCGTGATTCAGCAGTAATTCTTCTGTCGATGCATTCCAAATTAGCATCCCCAAAAAGTGCCAAAGAG